AAAATATCTTTGCGAGAGAACGCAAAAGTTTTGCGAGGGAACGCAAATATCTTTGCGAGAGAACGCAAAAAAAATTTCCTCCCACCCCGAATTTTTTTCCCACCACCATGTCCCTTTAGGGGCTCCGTAATACTATTCTAAAAAAGAATACATTTAATTTTATTGCATCTTTTCATAGCTCAGGTGTGCTTTACATTTAAGATGCATAATAAATACTGTTAATAAATGAGTATAATAAATACTGTTGTTTCTATAATACATAGATATAACAGTATTTATTAATATTTTGAGTCAGGTTTATTTTTATATTTTCATTTTATAATGTTTTATGTTTTAGTAATTTTAAAATGTGCTTCTGTCATTTTTATTAGTTTTTGATTAAAAATGTCAATTTAGCTTTAAAATGTTTCTTTTAGTAATTGATACATAAAAGTAATTTTAGTATTTCAACTTAAATGCATTTCATTTCAGTTAGTTTCCAGGGCATCCTTGCTCATTTTAAATTAGGGGTGCTCCGATTGATCGGCTACCGATCACTATCGTGTTGTGTTTGTGGTAAACAGCCACGGATCAGTAGCGGACTCCTGTGTGAAAGCTGCTTCCCCTCTCACAAGAGTCACCTAAGGGGAATTTCCCCAATTTTCAAAAATGAAATTCAGGTCCTGAATAAATGTCTAAAAATCCTGATTGAAGTAGCACTATAAATAGTTATAAATTATAAAAAGAAGGCTTTAAAAAGATCGGTATCGGCAGATACTGCTTTCTGTGATCGGTGATCGGCCTCAAAAATCCTGATTGGAGCACCCCTATTTTAAATGTAATTTTTTACTTTTTTTTTTGTAGTATTATATAGATTTGATTAGTTTTAGGTGATAGATATTCTGTTCAAAATGAAGGCAAATTGTATGGTAACACTTTTTTTTTTCATGTGTATTCGTGCTGCATCTGTTGTTACTGAACATGAAGTGAACTGACTTCTTACATCTGTTAAAAATCACCAAAACACCAGCTGATTAAAAGACATTAAGCTAAACTGCCTCATAAAGACTGATGTGATTTTGATGTTTTGTTTGGTGTATGCAGGGAGAAGTACGCCATGATGTTCGATGAGCCTGTGCTGCTGCAGTTGGGCTGGTGGTATGTGGCGTGGGCTCGTGTGTCTGGACCCAGCAGTGACTGCGGCTCCCACGGCCAGGCCACCATCACCACTGATGACGGGTACATACACACGCATTACTGGGATTATGTGATCATTACAGCATGATAATTCTGTAAGGACGATAATTATAATCAAGAACTCTCTCCTGCAGTGTGGTCTTTCAGTTCAAGAGCTCGAAGAAATCAAACAACGGTACTGATGTGAATGCTGGACAAATACCTCAGCTGCTGTACAGGTACATGAGGAATTTCAGTTCTGTACTCGTGACATTGGTGTATCAGGAGTATTCTTTCTTTCACATGCCCGTTTTGTTCTGGTTTTTCAGGTTGCCCTCTAATGATGGTAACGCATCCAAAGGAAAGCAGCAGACCAGTGAGCCTGTGCACATCCTCAAGCGTTCTTTCGCCAGGACCGTGTCTGTGGTATGTGTACAAAAACACACTGAGTGCTTATGGGCCTATAATGTGAAGCTTAATGTTTTTTCCAGATCTAATAATTTCCTTAAAATGCAATACAGTTCATATGAAAATACAGGGTAGGGGGGAAATATAAATAAATACATGTATATATACAGGGCTCTACGCTTACTTTTCTTTTTAGGAGCACTTGTGCTCCTAATTTAAAAAATGTAGGAGCACCTTCTAATCAATAATAAAAAATTAACCTTCCCATTATGAGGTGACATTTGACTCCTTAAAGTGATTTACAGGGAATTTTGTTTTTACCTTTGTAATGACATTTTTTCTAACTTTATTAAAAGTATGTAATCTTTTATGTCCAATTCAAAAAAATATATTTATAAGCTTTTTAACATTTCTAATTAAAAAAAGTAGAATAAGAATAAGTTACCAATCAAATGAAATCAGTATTTAAGAAATACATTTGTACTACAGAGGTGGCACAGAAGAACACACAAGTGGCTTGTAGGTGTATTTTCAGACATTTAATGTGGCTCAGAGGTCGCATGAGTGCAATTAAATTCATAAATTCATGTACATATAATATTATATATGTATATATAATATTAAATATATATGCAATAGGGATGCGCCGATCCGATATTCATATCGGGTATCGGCTCCGATAGTGCCATTTTTCTCTGATCAGGTATCGGTCAGAGAGGGCCGATCCAAATCCGAGATTTTTTTTTTTTTTTTTTTTCGATTGTGCGAATTATTCTGTGTTACTTCTGAAGCCATACGATAGCTTAATGTGAGCTACATATGAATATTTAAGTCCTTACATTAAAGTTCACACAAACTCTTTTCTCCGCTGTGGCTGTCAGTCATTCGTTCAGCCTTTAAAGTTT